CTTCAGCTGAAAGTAACTGGACATTGGGGGCAAAGTTGGAGGTATTAAGGGACCTTTTTTACTTTTGTGACTGTGTTGCCTTTGTGCCACACCCCGGGTCATCACATCTTCCTTCCTTCCTTCCCTCCCTCCCCCTATTGTGACCACCTGATACTTGCAATATTAACCAGTGTCAGTTCTATGAACTTGATGTTATTTCTGCTTTAGTCATGTTCTTTCCATCCGGAGAAATAGAAGTAGATAGATTATAAAAGGGAAATAAAAGTTCCTATTTACAGTTACTAATTAGGAAAGCTATTTCACCAATAGGTCATTCATTAAACACTTATGTAGCTGATTATATGAAGGCTTGTTCTTTATAAATAAGTTGACTAAAACTTAAACTCGTTGTTCATTGGATTGTTATCTGGACAGTCAGAAAAAAAACGGGTCATTGTGTGTAAATGTCTCTTCCCTCCCCCCAATATATCTTGTAATCCCCTCCTGCTTTCTACCTGGGTTTTTCAGATAGGTGCAGCTAGAGCAGGCAAGACACACACACCCCTGATCAACAACCAGGAAATAATTAGAAACACACACAAATCACTTCCAACCAAACACTGAAGCGCATCGGGTTGTTTTGGAATACACAAGAGACCCAATGAATTTAAAGTTATCAGCAAAACTTTACTGGTTACAAGTTACATTTGCTCTTTCTCATACACAAACACAAACTTTTCATCTTACCTCCCCAAAGGGATTCTTTTTTTTTTTTTTTTACAAGATTCCTGACTTTTGTCCTCTCTACTTATGTCCCTGCATCACCTTTTATCTCCCTTCACTTTCTCCGTCATAGGTGGACCTGGAAACTGAAGACGTCTGGTAGAGTGTGCACTCTTATATACAGCAGGGGTGGGCAGTAAATATGGCTGGCTGGCTGGCTCAGGGATTCTGGGAGTTGAAGTCCGCAGATCATAAAGGTCGTAATGAGGCCATAGTTGCTCATCCCTGCTGTACAGTGATTCCCTGGGTAAACTCTGAAGTTATTTTTCTTATCATCCCCATTAGCACTTCTGCAAAGAAGTGTGAATTGTTTTGGACTGAGGGAAGAAGACAAAGCATGAAAGTCTCCAAGGTGACTTCCTAGGAACTTAAGCCATTCAAATAACGGTCTGGTTATTAACGAAATAATCTCATTGGACTGAGTCCATTATGGTATCCGACGTATTGCTTTTGACTTATCCTGCTTATGTGGCTTTTAAGTTATGGGTGGTTATGGCTCATCTTTGTGCAGCTTGATTAGAATTGAACCAATTGTGATTTATGAAAACCACAGTGAAACTATTGTTAAAAGTGAAAGAACCTAAGTGATGTTTTCCTCTTTGTTCTGTATTTGCTTGCCCGTTCTTGTGAACTGACACTGCCAGGAGATAATGATTTTCAGAACTATTGCAGCCTACATTTTGCCAGAACACTTAATCTAGGTTGGAGGACTGAAATTTTACAGCCGAAGTTTAGCAGTGGTAAGCAAATGTAGAAGAGCATGCAAGCAGCTTTTGAAGGATTTCAATGATGCTTGAAGCAAATGTCAGCTTAGTCCGGCTAGAGTCAGAAATTTAAGGTTGTGCTGCTTCGATTTTCATTAGTATAAAAGGAGAGGAGAGAGCGAATCTCTGGGAAACTTTCAAAATTGCTGTTACAGTGACTGAACTCCAGTAGATCAAGCTGTATCTGTTTTCTGATCTGGTCTACTTTGAAGATTTAACATGAAGGAGATGATAAAAACCAAGTTCTAGAAAATATTTTTCACAGGTCCAACTAACCTAATCTCAAATGGATAAAGGAGGAGCTGTTGGTGGGGTAGCAGGGAGGAGAGGGAACAACAGAATATACGATTGCTTACACAAAAACATCAATATTTGGCCCCTTTATCTTCTCCTTATAGAGACAAGGGACCAATATTACTTCTTACATGGAAAACAGAACCCATATTTGCATAGTTATCACTAATATGTACAAAAATGATATAGACATGTACACACTGATAAGGTTAAAATTACAACTTGTTCCACTTCACAGCAATATACTGGGAGTGGAAAAATCTACTCATTTCCTCTCCTTCGCAATTTTACTTCTGTTGTCATCAAAGACCCAGACTTCTCAGAAAAAGCTTGCCTCTGAAGCCAAAATACATATAGACCTAAGCACTGAACATAAATTAGTGGGAGGGTCCTGAAAGTGCATGATTTTCCTTAGCTGTTTATGTTCACTTATTTTTCAAGATTGTTCTAAACTTCATTACAAAGCTGTACCTTCTGACATGAATGGCACATTAGGATTTATTGATTTTGTAGCTATACATTTTATACCTGAAAAGTCATGTGCCCTTAATTCTACTTATTCCATCAAACATTCTGCTCTATAAGTCACTTTAAAAATTTCTCCTTTAGTAATAATAATTATTACATTTCATTTCAACCACTGCATAGTCCAGACCCAGCGGGGAAATAAAGAGAAACAAAAGAAGCAACCTGAAGAGAGAGAAAAGGGGGGGAAATGCCCTTAAAAAATCAAGAAATTGAAAATTCGTGTCATTTCTGAAAAATTGTGATTATTTTTTAAAGTTTTCAAAAACATACAGAAAAGCACAAATATAGAAATTATAATTTACATGTAGTTACATGTCCACAAACCTCAATTTAAGTAAGATCAATACAAAGGTGAAGACAGAATTAAATGTTTATTGTAAGAGATAATCTGTAAGTAAAAGCATAACTTTTTGTATCATGGCCAGAACAATTTTATATAGCCAGAAGTCTTCAAAAATTTGTAATGTTTGATGCCAACATGGTTAACTTTCTTCTCCAACTGTTTGCAAGTTAACTATGGTACCAATTTGGTTTTTCCATTTGACTGGACTGAATTTTAATTTGCAAAGAACAATTTTACGAGTGGGCTATTTAAGATGGATGCTGCTTCAATCTCCAATACAGATGGGAAGTCTGGATGAAGAACTCAGGTTTATGCAACAAGGCCCTGCCTGTAGTTATGATAAAGCAACTAAAAGGCATGTTGGTCCATTCACTTGTAGAAATGGATGAAAGTCATGAAAACTAAAGATCAGGTTTAAATATTTGTGTATTGTCACTATTGTATTAAATGCATTTTAAATTTAATCCAGTCTGTAAAATTTAGTTTAAATAAACATGTTAAAATCTATCCTTAAAATATCCTAAAACCAAGTCCATTGCCTTTTACTAACGTTCATAAGAGACGTAATGGCTGGAAATATCCAATCATTATAAATTTAACATACACCATGCGTTCTTGTGACAAATTACTATTTATGTTGCTTCTTGCAAAGAAAACATACTGTCTTAGCCTTAGCAATTTTTGTTTTCTTAATAGTTTGCTTTGCTTTCTGAGAAATTGAATATATTTCTCTTAAAATAAATTCATTCCCACACTGAGGATTCAGAAATCCAACAATATTACAGTACTGCATGATTCATAGGCTTAAAAAAAAGTAGCCAAAGCTATTATACAAAAAAAATGTGATTTCAATTTCAGGGATGCAAAGTTGATATGAATGCAAATTTGCATTTTTAATTGCTTAAAGGAAGATACAAAATGGTCTCTTCTCACTGTTCACATTCCTGTTGTGGTTTTTGTTGCTCCTTTTTCTCCTGCTGCACATATAAACCTAAAAGTAACACAAAATGATGTATTTTTCTCTGCATATGGGCAATAACTGTAGTCTTTCATATAATGCCTGCATCTTTTGCTAACTAGGATATATTTCATTTAATATGAAATCATAGTATAGAAGAGAATGTTAATTATTCTTTGCCAGTGCATTGCTCCAATAACTGCTTCAAACTGAAGCAAAATTATGCCTATGAAATTGCAAAAAAAAAAAAAAAAAAGTCCAAAGGTAAAAGTGTTCAGTTCATTTTGTTTACAAAAGAGGTGTAGAAAGGTTTTTTAAATGTAAAAACTGGAAGCCTTTATTCAAAAATCCAAAGAAAATAAAATAAAAATCAGAAAACAAATTATGCCTAGGAGGGAGTGGGAAGGAAGGAAGAACAAATACCAAAGAATTCAAGGAAAAATACATAGGAACTCTTAAAAAGAAAAAAAAATGTTTTCATTCAAACCAGGAATGGGCATTTGTTCTCCAAGTCTTAGCACTTTTAAAAAAAAAATGCTTAAATAATAAAGACTATCAATTGCAAACCTTATGCATACAATGGATACAAGTTGATACAGAATTCAGGGAGGCAACACGTATTTCCCCTAAATGTTATATGAAAATGTAAGAGTGCAAGAATTCAAATTACAAAATAAAGGTGCATTTTCCCACTCCCAAAAATACAGAGTGACTGGCAGGAAACAAAAGATGAAGCTTATTACAACCATATGAGAGGTTACCTCTCTCCATAGCAGAGTGCTTAGTCCCAGAGATGCTTAAGGAAGGCATAAATACGTTTATTCTTGCTGCCTAGATATATATATATCTGTTAACTCAAGATAAGCATCATTGTTGTGAATATGACTATCTCAAGCGCTAAACTGCTTATATTTCTGCAATCAGGAAAAAAAGAAAGAAAAAGAACCTATTGGGAACTAACTCGCCTTCGTTGGCATGAAAAACAGAACAACCTTTCTAAAAGCTGGCTTATTATTAAAATCCCTTATGTGAAGGCCTTCTTGTAGCCTAACAATAATGTAAAGTGATATTCCATGTTGAAAAACCACACTGTCCTTTCAACTGCGCCGTATTGCAGATCTTCTTTACTGTGAATATTCCCTTTGCCAAAAGAACACTGGCTAGAATGCATAGAGAAGATGCATTCCTAGTCTTTAATTGCACATTATAACTGTAGGCAGATGGGGGAATAGTGAGACAAGAGATATGCTTAGCAAGAAAAAGGCAGAATCAGGTTAGCAACTTCCTTATGCTAAACCTTAATGAGATGATAAATGCAAGAGCGAATTTAGATTTTCTTTTTTTTTCCCCTCCCATGGAAATGGGATCCAAATTCATCCTTCAGTCACACACTTAGAATATGCCCTTGTTCAGATCCACATATTAATTCTTTTCGCATTATAGATGTAAAGCTTTCTTGTGGGGAGGCTTATGCTAATCAAATCATCCAGCTGAATTAGCCATGTGCAGTTCAATTGATGAGAAGAAGCTTTTAATTTGCATACTTCTTTTTTTTTTCCACCCCCAAATATCTGTAACCTGAACAGCTACTAGTCTGATGGGGCTACAGCCCATGTTTCTCTGTCAAAGCAAAATTGCATTAAATAATGTGGAAAGAGCTAAAGAACACAACTCCTTCTCAAACTGACAACTAATCTTGTGACTCTATTTGTATTTCTTCTCTGGTTTCCTGCAATTATGTAAGATGGTAGCAGGGCAGCAACAATCCTTATTCTCTTAAGCTAAGAATATCAAACCAAATGTATGAAGCTGTAAGATATCGGCAGCTTAATGCTTTCTTCATGAAATCAGCTCCTCCCGGATTTCAAAATGGCAGTGATTTAAAAACTCCATTATACGTTACGCCATTATATTGCCAACATCTATGAAGAGGGTAATTTTACACAATTAAACCACGACCAAAAAAAAAAAAAAAAAGTACTGGGACAATCTTGTTCAGCCCTCAGTTAAAAAAAAAAGCTTTTCAACACATATTTATGGAGATACAAATTGTATGATTAAAAATGTTCTAATGTGCATAATCAGATGAATGTAATATACATCCCAGCAGAGTCCCGAGAAGTTGGTACAAGTTGCCTGCGTCCCCCCTCAAAAAAATCATTAGACCAACATAATGGATAGTACATAATACTGTGAAGAACAGTTACCCCTTTAAAATATTCCAGATTCAAACATGATTTTAGTTAAGTCTTACTGTATTCAGCTGCTTAGCAGACTATATGCATGGATTTTATTTTTTTAAAGTTCTTGCTGATTAGCACATATATATATTGTATATGTATACATGTGCAAGACAAAAGGCAATGCTTAATATAAATATTGACTAGAATGAACAGAACCAGCACTTAAAGCTTGAACCATTCTGTCATTCACTAAGCTGCAAAAAGAATCCTGCTTCAGATACAGTAGTCATCTTTCCCTATTCGTCGGAAGGTAACTGGTGGGTTGGAAGTTCACATTTGATAAAGAGAAAGGAATGTCTGGTTGCTGCAGCCTGTGAATGAAAAAAAAGCAAGAGTTACATTTCAGCATACGTGAACTGGGCTGAGCGGGTGAACAAGAATCCATTCATCTTGTCATATCTTGCAATGAAAGATGCTACTTGATTACTCAAATGGTCAAGTACGTACAAAGAAGCTTTGGGAAATCAAGACTACTTCACTAAGTCTACAAATCATAGGCTTTTCATCCTCTTCTGTGAGTGTCAAAATAGTTTTTTTTTTAAATTTAAATCTCTTTGGAAATACCAACACTATCAAATGCTTGATCAATTGGTACCACTGTTAAGAGTTTTCAGCAGCAATTCAGCTGGAATATCCACCTATCAGGCATGCCGAATTTTGCAGACTTGAATTGAATTTGAATTGAATTGAATTCTTTATTAGCCAAGTGTGATTCACCACACAAGGAATTTGTCTTCGGTGCAAATGCTCTCAGTGTACATAAAAGAAAAGATACATTCGTCAAGAATCATAAGATAAAACACTTAATAGTCATAGGATACAATAAGCAATCAAATCATACTAGGAAACAGTTTATATAAATTGTAAGGATACAAGCAACAAAATTACAGTCATACAGTCACAAGTGGGAGGGGACAGGTGATAAGGAGTGATGAGAAGATTAATAGTAATAGTAATGTAGACTTTGTAAATAGTTGGACAGTGTTGGGGGAATTAGTTGTTTAGCAGAGTGATGGCGTTCAGGGAAAAAACTGTTCTTGTGTCTAGTTGTTCTGGTGTGCAGTGCTCTATAGAGTCGTTTTGAGGGTAGGAGTTGAAACAGTTTATGTCTGGGATGTGAGGGGTCTGTAATATTTTCACAGCCCTCTTTAAAAAAAAACATTTTTCCAAATTGCCACATAATTCCTCTGTCTAAACAAGTATCTAGTATCAAAATGCTAAATGTTCTCTCTTTAGGCATCTAGAATTATATGCATGCTTTAAAATTGTTTGTAATACATTTATGTTGCAATTTTCATTTTGATTTATAACATGAAGTACTCTGAAGGCGGTTGTCACAGAGCTGGCTATTACACTATTTAAAAATAAATTCACTGGAGTTAATTAATGTGAAGCCATAATAAATGAGAAGGCTACAACTATTTATCACCAAAGTCTTCTAAGCTAACAACTGATAGGAAAATGAATTGATTTTAAATATTGTTAACTGTTACACGTGGGAAATTTATCCATGGTTGTTCTCTGTCCCATCTTATATTTATAACTGTATCCATTTTAAGGTTTTCTGTGACCTTAACGAACTGCTCCTCATATCATTACAACTTCCAGCCTTTCCTTCATTCTCTCTTTTCCATAAAATATTTGGTTAATCTTCTCAATTGTAACTAAGGCTTAAGGATGTGTAAAAGCATTCGCACCTTTCTTAACTCGCCTTCATTTTGCCTCTCTCTCGCTCTATTATAGGATTTAAACTCCTTGGGAGAATTCATTTAAGTTGCTTATTTAATTTGTTAAAACAGCATACATGTATATGTCACCAAAGTTGTGATCACATCTGGGCAGAAACAAAATAATTCATAATGACTATTTTGATGTGAAATAAAAAACAGTGAACCACAGTCACTATGAGAACTATTAATAAACTGAGAATACTGTGCTTCAAATCTCACTTTGCCACAGAATTTCTAGCTGACATTTATTAAAGCTGTCTTCAACTTACAATGCATGTATCACCGATTGAAATAAGTGAATAATAATACTGGATTTGTATTACTGTATATGTGGCCTTATGTGTCAAGTGCTGTGAAATCTGTAAGAATATGTAAACGCTTTTATAATGATTAAATTAAACCCTTAAAATTATCCATCAATTAAAACTCATCACCTCCTTTGAGATTTAAGTGGAATACACTTTAAACTTTTCAGATATGAAAAGGGTATTTTAGGAGTCTGATCTAACCTCACTATGAAAATATGAAAGAGTGAATGCAGGTCTATGGATGAATCCAACAGAAAAAAATGCAAATTATACATAATACCAATTTTATTGTCCACAACAGCCATAATGAAACATTAAACTATATAAGAGTTGATTAGAACATGCCTAGAATATAGGCAGATGTAATAAACTAAAAAGAAGGACTATCACAGAAAAAAATATCAAAACTTAGTACTACTTGTGATGAATATTTGTAGAGATATTGGGGGGGGGGGGAGTTATTGACAAATTAAGCTTGAAAAATCAAAGACAATGTTCATATTTTCTGGTGTTCGGCATGAAAACATTTCTTTCCATCCATTGTTAGCTAATGTTTTTCCTTCAGATGCAATTTAAGTATTTACTTATAAAGAGGTGTAACATGGCTTACCTCTAATACAAGAAGAAAAATCTTGTTCTATGAGCTGCCGCCATACTTTCAGACATATTTCTAACTTTCAGGTAATTAACAAAACCTCGGAAAAATAGAAGGAGGCCTAAAACCAGAAACAGAGTATGAAATATTTAAAAACATTAATTATTCTGGCACCTGCAGTGCACGTTTGGCTCATACTTAAATGTGATCTACTAGAACAGTGGTGGCTAAACTTTTTGGGCTCCTGTGCCAAAAACTGTGCATGCGCTTGCGTGCCAGCACCCAGAAGGCAATGCGCACAGCCCCCCCCACCTCCTGCACATGCACGCATGATCCCACCACCACCTTACCTGCACTGTGCGCCACCCAGATGATTTTCGGGCCGTTTGAAGCTTTTCCGGCCTCCCAGAGGCTCAAGGGAAGCCTTTGGAGGCCAAAAAATTGAGCCTGTTTTGTCACTTCCTGTATTTCCGGAAATACAGGAAGTGACGAAACAGGCCTGTTTTTTGGCCTCCAACGGCTGCAGAGGCTTCCCTTGAGTCTCTGGGAGGCTGAAAATCAGCTGGGAGGTGCACGCATGCACAGTGCAGATAAGTTTGGCTGTGGCTCACGTGCCTGCACAAATGGCTCTGCATGCCACAGGTTCGCCATCATGGTACTAGAACAACGAGATCCCTTTTGCAGTTGCTAATATTGAGCCAGGTACCACCTATTCTATACCCGTGCGTTTGTTTTTTTTTGTTTTTTTTTTTTTTGCCTATGTGTATTTTATTTTACGTTGAAATATTTAATTTCAGTAATAATTGCGATATGGAAATCAAATCACCAAAAGTCATAACTTTAGAATACTCAAGCATCTTACTGTGCTACAAAAATTCTGCTTATGGCATTGGTCTGTGACAGACTGCTAGATCCATTCTTGACATAGATAAATACTCTCACAAGGACACATGCACCCATTCATGATATATACACTATTTCTTAAATTTGCCTTTGGATTTTTATAGGGAGTTAAAATCAGAAAATTAAACCTTTCGATCAGCACTTACCAAGTACAAGAAATATCCACCAAAGCCAGTACTGTCCATTGAAATAGCCAGTAAAGTAATCTGAGAACTGATAAGGAAAAAAAAAAAAGGCAAGATATACTGTGTTAAAGTTATCACTGTGATATATGAACATTACTGATGGAACACAGATGTATTTTGGATATACAGAAATGCTCAAAGGAAGTACAGTTAATGAATTGAGGAAAAGAAAAGAAAAAGTTCTAATACTATTATTAGAACAGTAGAGAAAACAGGCATTTTGCTACGTGTAGTTGCTAACAAAGAAATCTAAGCAGTTTGTGGAGAAAATATTAATGGGTCTCTTTACCACTATAAGTTAGTTCACCGCTATAATAGTTCTACTGGTACATAAAATCCCTCTCAGTACCTGCCATCCAAAATAATAAAATAATATTTTTATTATTAAAACACAAAGTTTCCAAGATGCTAATCTGAGCACAATGTAAGGCAAGTATTAGAAGTACGTTGAAAACCCTGTTAACATGATGTACTTTAAATGGCTTGGTTTAAACTTTTAAAGTCGTAAATAAGCTTGGAATTTGGCTATCTAAATGACTACCTATTTGAATATGATTCGGTTTAGAGATTAAGGACCACAGATATGGCTTCATAAAAGTGTTCTTCCTTTCTGTGGTCTGCTTCCTGACCCCCTCCTATGCTGTGAACAATTAAAGAAAGTCCTTTTCAGAAGCTGGATTCGGTTCTTCTTCTTTTTGAGTATAGGGAAGGAGTAATTCTTTAGCCAAGATTTATTTTTAAGGTTGTATTAATTTAAAACATTTTTTTGCAAAAGAAATTTAAAATGGTTGCTTCTGTTCTTTTGAGGTGGTATTGGTGAGTGGCAAACAAATGTATTTTGTATTTTCTAGCAATGCCCAATTAGTCTGGTACTTTAGTCAAAGATTAGGAAAATAGGGGGGGGGGGGAATCATAGAACAGTCTTCAACAATGGAATCTGTGGTTGATTTACTTGTTCATTTCCCGAGGCTTATAAATCAATTCAGGGTAAGGAACGGATTAATTTCCTCTTATTAGTCAATAACACTGTTATTCCAAAACATTGGAAAACAGAAGTATTTCTTTAAATCAATTAATGTTAATAGTTTTTTCAGTATATGGAAAACAACTTTTGGATGAATAAGAATGCAATAAAGAACTTTGAGATTCATTCAAATATACTTACTTTATACTTTAGCTAAATGAAAAAATTGTAATATATTTGCATTTGCATTTTTCCTTAAAATGTATACAAGTACACATTTTCAACTTTATTTTCCTTTCTATTTGCTTAAAAATTATGGGGTTATCCTTAGTTTACACCCTATCCTTTTTGTTGTTTGCTTAGTAAACAACCATAAGTATAGTTTCTAACATGCATTTGTGAAACAGATGCAGTAGGAAAATGGACAAATACTCATTTTTAAAGGAGCCAGCATCACCATGATCATGTAACCCCTAGTCCTTCTTTTCACTAGACTAGATATACTCAATTCCTGCCCACATTCTTCATGTGTTTTAGCTTCCAGACCCCTATTCATCTTTGTTGCTCTTCTTTGAACTCAGACCTAACACAGAAAATCAATGAATTTCTTGGATCAATTGTTTTTACATATTATTCAAGGCAGCAAACATATCTACCTTCCTCTTCCTATTTTTCCCACAATAACAACCCTGTTAGGTAAGTTGGGCAAGAGTGAGTGACTTGCCCAAAGTCACTCAGCTGGCATTCATGGCTAAGGCAGGACTAGAACTCATGGTCTCCCACATTCTAGCCTGGTACCTTAACCACTACACCAAAGTGGCTCTCATTTAACACATGACTCAAAACTAATTTAATTCATAACAAGCCAAATCATATTCATATTTCAGTAAGGAAAAAAGGCTTTCAATAGTAAATAAAAGTAAAAGCGGGAATTCTAAAATGCAAAAGTCCCAATAACACCACACAAAATAGCCATTTGAATTTGGTTGCAATGTACAATAGAATTTAAAGTTTCCATATGTTGACTTTTTACTTTTTCTTCTTCTTGTGATATATCTGTCATCGGATGTTGGTGATCATGTTGGCAATTCTATTTTTATCAACAGCCACATGAAAAAGTTTTTACTTTTTACTAGCAGGGAATAATCTATCAACTTTATAATAGACTAAGAAATATACAATTAAAGGCTATAATGGTATTTAATTTAATATGCTTCCATATTGAAACTCACCCGGACAATAAGAATCCATTTGATCAAAGACAGTCCAAATCCACAGATTGCACCATATCTTCCAGCTATGGTGTTAGTTATACAGAATGATAAGCAAAATCCAATCCAGTTGAAAATGAATGCCACTAAAAAAAAACCACACACAAACACAATTTATTGTTAAAACTTGACTTAAATGGGAGAGCATTTGAGAATTTAAATTATTTTTCCAAATGGAAGGCAATTATTATCAGTTAAGCTACTTGGGATAGAGAATTGATATCAAGTGATAGAAAGGCAAATTATTAACCTTTCTAGATTTTGCCAGCGGAAAGCCAACGTGAAATCACAAAAATAATTTTAGAAAATGGTCCTTTGGTGTCCTTCTGTGAGATATTATATTTCAGATAAGAAATTGTAACAAAGATCTAGATGAGAACTGCAAGACTGAAGCTTCTTAATGAAGTTATCCTGGTGAGAGAGTGGAATCTGTCGATTAGGACATGGAAACCTGACCAAGAAGCCATTGTTTGATTGCAATCAGATTTCTGGTTTCAATGGCTGATGAAATATCACGAGTGGATGAGTTATGTTTGGATCCTGCCTGATGCCACTATATCATAGAAATATACTGTGGAAATCAGTGGAAAATATAGATTTCTGTTCATCCTTTCTGATTTTTACCACTGCTGAGAAAAAAAATCGAATCTCTATTGCTTACACCACCATTGGAACATCTGTTGCTATGACTTAACAATCACATTGTCTTCTAATGTGTTAGTATTTACCCAAATCTACAGAATTGGAAAATGTATAAAACAGGTATCTCAAGGATTGTCTACGCCACATTTGTTTATCTTTGTGTTAAGAACAATGTTTGACATCCTCTTTTGGGAGTTAGGCAGGTAGTGACTGGAGAAGCCTATAATGTACGTGGTTCTCTTGGTTCAGAGGATTTTCTACAGCTGAGTTTACTGCCTTAATATTGGCATTTCAATCTGGAATTTTAGACCTGTCTCGAGATGGCTTTGCAGTTGCCAAGGTTGGTGTTAATTTTTAAAATAGGCTTTTAGCAGGTCACTATGGAAATTTGAATTAAAATAAGAGCACTTTTTTAAAAATGTCGCTCATTGTTTTTGTATGCATAAATTATGTGGAACAATTGCTGTATTTTCATTCCTGGTAGAACATTGTTCAAAAAAGGTATCTAAAAAAAGACTCAAAGAGGTTATCTTAAATATTTCAGAGAGCATATTTTATGTAGTGCATTATGCATTAGGCCTTCTTTTAAGAGTCCATTTTTATCTTGTTAATCTATTTATAAGGTTTATTATTTCTCCAGGATATGTACCCAGTTAATTGCCATTTATAGGAATATTAATCAGCAAGAATATAATTTTCTTCCCATATTACTTTATCTTATCTATGATAAAACTGCTAGAAGTCTTAGAACTTTAAAGTTGTAATGAACACATTTGTCACAAGGTGGCAGTCACACACCACAAATGGACTGCAACCAGTTTCATTACAAATTATATTTCAAAGGTGTGCATATAGAAATAAACTTTTTTTTTCTCCATCAGCAAGAGATAACGTAAGGAACTTATGTGACAAACATATACAATTGGTCAATATATCGTTTTCAAATATTCTGCAATAGGGAAAAACTTAATTGAAATTATTAACTGAAAATATACATTTTCAGCATTTGCAGAAAAGACAGTCACATATTCTCAAACCCACTGCCATATCCTACCTGCACTTCTGCCTTCCTATCAGTAGTGCACATATATCAGGGGCGTCAAACTCAAGGCCCATGGGCCGCATTTGGCCCACGGGGTGCTTAGATCTGGCCCGCGGGGCTGCCCTAGAAATAGCGAAGGACCAGCCTGTGGTGCCTCTGCTAGCGAAAAGGGAGCTCAGGAGGGCCACGGCCTCTGTTTTTGCTGGCAAGAAGGTTGCAGGAGGCCGTACCCAGCCAAAAACGGAGCTCGCAAGCCTGTTTTTGCTGGCAAAGCAGACAGAGGCCACCACAGGTGTCCCCAACACGAGTGACATCAAGCTGGCCACCCCCCCCCAGGCCATGGCCCCCCAGCCCCCCCAAGTTAAACACAACCCTGATGTGGCCCTCAATGAAATCGAGTCTGACACCCACCTCTGATATACATGTATCCCTCAACAGAGAAATATTCTCCTTTAAATGAAAGTAACTTAAAGCAATAACAGAAAAATTACTGACTGAAAAAAGCCAACATAAAAATGCCATCATTCCCCACACGGAGTTGGTCTGCATCGCTGAAGTCATCTCTCGGGGGATATTCTTCTTCCTTTAAGAGGGCAAAAAACACCTTTTAACAGAATGATAATCAGTTAAGATTTTGTAAATCACAACTTTTTTCAGCAGCGGGAATCTATGTATAAAATCAAGGATGCATTACCAAAGGGATGTATTTCGGTTATCCAGTTACATCAGACGTAAATTTGTCATGACCCTTCATTAAAATAAAATCAACAATACACCTTCAAAATGCATCTTATGTTGCATTTATCAATAGCAGCCATATGCCCCAGTTTTTAAGTTATATTCTAGAGTAAAAATGGTAGATAGAAACATAGAAAATGGACAGCAGAAAGAGACTGAGTAGTCCATTGAACCTGCCTTTTGAGGTTTTTTCCCCTAATTTATGTTTGTTTGTTTGTTTATTTATTTATTTATTTATTTATTTATTATTTATTTATTTATATTTTTAAAATGAGATTGCCTTTAGATGGCCTTTCTCTACCTCTCCTTGACTAACCTAAAATTAGCAGCAGGTGAAATTCATGTGCTTGCCTGTTAGAACATTTTACCTTATTTTGGCAGAACCTGGATCAGGCCTGAATACAGGATCAGGCCTGAGTACTGTAGTCATTGAATTGGAGACTGGTAAAAATACCAGTTCTATTTCCAGAATGATGTGTGATTCTCTGCAAGTGAGTATCTTTCATTAAGTGTACAGTTTGTTTTCTTGGGATACTCCCCTCAGGAACATTATGTTGTAGGGAATAAAAGATTCCCCAGATTTCCTCTTCCAATGGTAAGCCAGCCACTAGACTTTTAAAAACAACACACTTTAACTGTTCTCATTCTGTGACTTGAAACCTTTTCTTTTCTTTTATATGTGAAAGCAGGAAGGAATGACTAATCCATAGTATAATCATGAGTTTCATGTACTCCATTCAAAAAAGGCAAGTATATTTTTATAAGGTGCAACATCTGGCTGCCATTTATAGCACGTGTGCTATTTAGTTTTTAGTTCGTTTTGTTTTGTTTTGCCCTAATGCATGCCCATTGGCAGAATATTTCACTAGACACATTCAATTAACATTTTTTCCATAATGTTTAATGGAAAGCAAGTAAGAATGTAAGAATAGCTATCCTTTCTATTCAGACGGAAAAGTTTGTATTACTTAATACCTGATGTGTATATATTGGCCAAACAATGTATCCAATGATAGGCTAAGATCATTCTTAAGGATACAAAGGAAAAGACACTAGGCCCACAAGGTTATTGATTACTGAAAATACATTTATAAGGCAAACCAATAATGAACTAACCATGAAGCCCAAATGTTTTTATCTACATGTTGGCCACACTGGGGCCATGCAAAAGATCCATATGGGAAGGATGTGATACTTCAGAATTTCATAACATTGATAAATTACAAAATACAGTAAGTATACAAGTGATACTGCACTAACACTTTACATCCCCCAGTCCTGAGACGTGCAACACATGGCCATCCAAACATGCAACAACAACAGTAAAACTATCACAACATTCAATCCACAAAAGTACTGAAAGCATTCTAAAATTAATACTTTGCTGATATTCAAACGCCAGAGGGTGCTAACATCCTTAAAACAAATTACATGAAGTCATCTAGGCAGGCCCCCTTATATTTGTTTTGGCTCTCCCCCTCCCCCTGTATAAATTGTATAAAGCAGTTTATCTGCATGCAATTTCAAAGAACTAAAATTCACAGCACAACACGGAAGCTGCAACTCTTCCCAAATAATCTCTGTTTTTCATTTTGAAATACAAATATGCAGATGTACACTCAGCAGAATTATGCAAGCTAATTTAGAAAGCATGCACTTTATCCTTTGAAACAAGGTAAGCTGTTATGCTATTTTAAGTTTTTTTTAAAAAAATTCCAGTCAGTGTATGCCTATTTTTTAAGTGGAGTTATTCTTAAACAACAGGTTTATTTCTTAAAAAAGACTTTCAACAAGCAGAAGAATGATACTTTAAAGTATATTTAATTCATGTATTTCTACACTCGCCAAATATTGAAACAAGCAAAGATTTGAAGATTTCAACTTGCTACCTCATCATTAAAAGTTATTTGCCAAAATAAGCAAATAAACAGGTTATTTCCTTTTTAAATATTGATAACCTTAGAATCCCTGAAATTATGTTTGAACATACAGGGGGTCATGAAATCTGGATTAGAGTACTATCACTTTAAGTTGAGATAGTCAAAATTATATGCCAACAAATGTTAATTCTTATACAGAAAAAAATAGAATGATTTTGCTGGGGTATGTTTTTAATTAATTATTTTTAATAGTAGTCACAGAATAAATTAAAGCACTGAATTCTCCAATTATTGAAAATCGTATCAAGTCACATCTTGATATGTGACCCTTTAAATCTGCTGATTCTAATTACATGAGAAATGTATGAATAATTCACAGGTATTATTCCAGGTACATGAGAGAATGAGAAAGGAGTGGTGCGGTGGCCTAAAGGTGGAGCTCTCGCCTCACAATCAGGAGACTGTGAGTTCAATCCTAGGTAGAGGCAGATATTTCTCTCTCTGGGCACACTGAGAACATATCTGTAGAAGAAAAACTCCGCATTGGCAACAGGAAGGGCATCTGGCCATTAAAACACTCTGCTTGCTCTATTCAGTTGCCCAGACTCCACCCTGCAAGGGATTATGGGGTCATTAAATGAAGATGATGATATGAGAGAATGAGAAATACACATCCGAACTCAGATATCCTAGGATATATTATGACTGAAATTAAATAACCAGTCATCATCATGAAAGCTATCAACAGTTTTAACTATTTTTATATGTAGTTTAATTGGGTTACGCTATTTTTCCTTGAATATTCCAGTGAGCAGAATCCAAGACAAACAAATATTTGATACATTAAGCTAACATGTTTCAGAATGGTAGAATCTGATCCCTTACTCTGGTAAACAACTAGTAAGTTATTCACATAAACAACAACAAAATTGATTTATTCATTGATTCAATTCATTTTTCAAACTGCCTCCTGCTAGAAAATTAATTGTATTGGAAACTTTATTTGCTTTTAGAAATAGTTTTTTCCCACACACACAATTTCACCCAGAGCTCATTTGCTTCCTGTACTGGAAACAGGATCTAAACTCTTAAAACTTAAAAGCTGTCTAATCGGTATTAGGTGCAACACAAATGAATACTAGGACTATTTAGTTCTTTCAGTTGGAACTCCAAGAGGCAGCTCAAGCATCATGTAACATCTGTGGGAAACTTCTTAAAGCACCTGGGTCCTTCCCAAGAATCACTGTGTACAGTGAATTGACCAACAACAGTTTGTTTAGTGAACTGTTCAAAGTTACAAGGGCAATGAAAAAAAGTGACTTAAGACTGTTTTTCACACTTAACAACCATTGCAAGCATCCCCATGGTCACCTGCTCAAACTTCGGGTGCTTGGCAACTAGCATGTATTTATGACGGTTGCAGTGTCCATATTTTTGGGAGGATCAAATTCAAAGCGAAGCGTATATAATAAATACACGAGTGCCTCAGAGCAGTCTGGAATATGGATGACCTACCATAACTCATTCACGGTGTCTGGCCTTTTAAGCAAAACGCCTCTATAATTATTCTCCATAATTATCAGAGCTAAATATCCTTACAGAAAAAAATTCTTAAAATGAAGATGGAGATGAAGCCAGAGATTTTTCTTCTGTAGTAGAAAAAGACTTTGGAACTTTGGTTTTATATATGTTGATGGCAGCAAGACTACCGTATGCACAAACAAATGGAAGGACACTTCCAATTCCCACCATGGACAAATGGCTAGATAATTTGATGGCGTTGGCAGAGATGGCTAAATTGACTGTTTTGATCAAAGAAAAGAATATAAGTACTTTTGTTGTTCCATGGAAACTTCTGGACTTTGTGCTTAGAGTGGGGGGGGGGGGCCGGAATGAAACTTTGATCTTGGGTTTTACGGATTAGACTGGTTTGTTTGTTTTTACACAAATGTCTAGTTTATAAAATTTTGGAAAAGTAAAAAGTTGAGGTTCGATGTTAATGCTTTATTCTATTGCAACAGAGGGAGTTAGAAGTCAATGCTTTTTCTTTTTTCCTTTTCTTCCTCCCCTCATCATTTTTCTTTCCCCCTTTCCTCCTCATTGTATCCTCTTATTTGTATTTTATTCTGTAATATTTTTTTAAAAAGAGCTAAATATCCTTATGAACAAAAATTAACCCATGCATAATGAGTTGAAATATGCCCTATTTTTTATTTTATTTATTTATTCAATTTGTGTCCATCTCTAACCAGAGAGTCGGGGTGGCAAACAATCATAAAAAATTAAAACAGTCAAAAACACAATGCAAAAAAGAAACCAAATGCAAATAGCAGCCAAGAGATATTATAATCCATCAGTGTCCTGTTTTCATTTTATTGGAACTATATTCTTACTGCATGCAATAGGATACTTCCAAACAGAAATGAAAGTATTGTAATTAATTTGAAAGGGAAATTTTATTTAGAAAAGGAAAATATTTTTTTATAAATGACTGCTTGCCATAAATAAACTTCACTGCAAAATCTAAACTTCACAGAATGGAACCATACCTCTGGTGGACTCAGGAATATTTCATCAAACAGACTCCTAGACTCCCTAAAATGGCCGTGCTAAGCATGTAAAGAAAATAAGACAGAAGAACTAAACGTGTGTTAAATCATTCTGTACAAGTCAAAATGTTAAAATTCTATCTCCGCAAATTATTTTTTAAATATATTTTTAAATAAAATTTAAGATACAACGAAGTTAAAACCAAGGACACAGAAACCCAGTAATTCTAAGTTTGGGGGGCATTAATGATAAATTATTCCTATTAAACACATACAGTGAATTTTGATCAACTATTTGTAGCTGACTCATTGCATCATGTAAGAGCATTACATGAAATATAATCAAATTAGCATTGCATGAAATATATTTTAAAAAACTTCTTACTGCTCTCCATACAAGATTATACTGTATTATTACATGCTTTCTTGGATTGCCTGGACAGTATACAATGTACAATATCATAAAAATATTATTGTTAACACAATATAGCAATAGCATTTAGACTTATATACCACTTTACAGTGCTTTACAGCCCTCTCTAAGAGGTTTACAGAGTCAGCATATATGCCCCCAACAATTTGGGTTCTCATTTTACCCACCTTGGAAGGATAGAAGGCTGAGTCAACCTTGAGCCTGGTGGGATTTGAACTGCCAAATTGTAGGCAGCTGGCAGTCAGTAGAAGCAGCCTGCAGTACTGCACTCTACCACTGCGTCACAGAGGCTCCTTGCACAGGATTTACAGATTAGAACCTGTCACAGATTAAATAAAAGGGGCTAACCTGTGCTACTTCTTCTATTACCTGCCTAGGAAGTTGATGTAGCATAATAACTAGGTGGCACTTTAACTTGTGACATTATCAGATTAAAAACAACCCATCGATCAGAAATTGGGGGAGGAAAAACTGCCACTGCTGCTTGTCAAGGTCTGAAAAAAGCCACTGCACTGACCTGAATTTCTAAATACAAGGTAGCCCCCGACTTACAACAGTTCGTTTAGTGAAAGTTCAAAGTTACAACGGCACTAAAAAACAGGGACTTATGATTGTTTTTGACACTTAGGACCATTGCAACAGTCCCACTGTCATGTGGTCAAAATTCAGATGCTTGGCAACTGGCATGTATTTGCACTGTCCAAGGGTCAATCCCCTTTTGAGACCTTCCAACTAAACAAAAAGAATGGGGAAGCCCAGGTTCACTTAACCACCATCTTACTCGCCTAACAAGTTCAGTGATTCATGGACTAGATGACCTATAAGGTCCCTTCCAACTCTGATTATCTGTAATCTGATTAAAAGACCTCCACACTTAAATAAGAAATATGTATCCTTTAAAAAAAAAACTATGCAAACGTATAGAAGAACTGGGAAAAGCACTTAATACGGTGCATATAAAACGCAGACTTATGCAGTGTAGGTTCCAAAGTACGCCGATTACGTAGCACAAACTGCTTACTCACTCTTTGGGCTGCTGCTTCTGCTGCCACCGCTGCCATTGCCGCAGCTTTGGCCTTCTCCACCTCATCGTAAGTGGGAAGAGAGGTAGCTACGCTGTAGGGAGGCGGCACTGGGTAAAATTCGTTGGGTGATTCCATTTCTGTAAAAGAACAATGAGACTCTTCTGGGTGGGAACAAACAAGCAGGGGCTAAATTCAGATACTGTAAGACAAAGCTGCTGTTAATCCAACATGGTTCTCTGCCAGTCCTTGTCTCTAGAACAGGGGTGTCAAACTCAAGGCCCAGGGGCCGGATCCAGGCAGAGGTGGTTATTCAGCAGGTTCTGACCAGTTCTGGAGATCCAGTAGTGGAAATTTTGAGTAGTTCGGAGAACCAGCAAATGCCACCTCTGGCTGGCCCCACCCCCATCTATTCTCTGCCTCCCGAGTCCCAGCTGATTGGCTGGGTCTTCTTTGGTTGCCCTTCACAGGAGAATGGAGCTGGAAAGCAGGTTAGTGGGGTGGGGAGGGAATGGGATTTTGCAGTATCCTTCCTCCAGGAGTTGGGAGGGAATGGGGATTTTGCAGTAGCCTTCTCCTGCCACGCCCACCACACTATGCCCACAGAACTGGTAGTAAAAAATTTTTGAATCCCACCACCGGATCCAGTCCACGAGGTACTCAGATCTGGCCCACAGGGCTGCCTTGGAAACAGCGAAGGACCAGCCCATGGTGCTTCTGCCAGTGAAAATGGGCTCCGAGCTCAGTTTTCACTGGCAGAAGGTTGCAGGAGGCCATGGCAGCTGAAAATGGAGCTCGGGAGCCTGTTTTTGCTGGCAGAACGCTCGGGCCACCACAGGTACCCCCGGCCACGCCCCAGGTCAAACACAACCCTGATGCGGCCCTCAATGAAATCGAGCTTGACACCCCTGCTCTAGAGGAAGCTTGGATGGGTGGACAGGGTGTAGTTGTGCTGGGGGTGTTTGTACCATGCTTGATTTGTTTTGTAGCAGCTGGCATGTGACTGCACCTGCTTCTTTTTCTCCGTCCTGGTTGTGTTTCCTGTTTTGTTAATAGCTCGTTTTGTTGTTTGATTTTTCTGGCCATTAACTGAATAAATAAATAAATAAATAAATAAATAAATTTCAAATTCAAATTTCTCTAATGGAAGCAACTCTACGGCCTGGGGTTGTCCCAGATTAACAACTAGTTCTCAATGGGACAATTGGAGGTTACGCCTAAAGAAATCCTGCCTAGCTACGCTTGATGCATGTTACCGTCCTATCTGGGAAAGCCAGGAAGGTTTTGTGACGGTAATTCACACTTTCATCATAACCAGCTGTAGTACTGTAAGGCGCTTCACTTTCCCTTTAAAGGCCAGTTTGAAACAAATGTTAAATCAGTGGAGTGGCCCACGTTACCTGGCACTAAATTCTACAGGCACAATACATCTATGCCATGAGTGTCAAACTCGCAGCGTCAAGTTAATGTCACGTGACGTGTCAAGATTGTTTTTTCCCTTCGTGGAGCTAGACTGGGCATGGCCTGTGCGTGACGCATCCAGCCCGCGGGCTGCCAGTTTGACACCCCTGATCTATGCTGTATGCCTTGCAGTGGGTGACAATAGATTTCTGTGTGCAGTTTAAAGTTCGACGTAGCAGAGTGTGGCGATACCTTCAAAACTATCCCCTTCAGCTAGAATCAACCAATCTATTATGACTATCTGGGAAACATTGTGTGTAATTCTCCAGTAATATAAAACAGGTAGTGGGAGGGCAGAGAGAGGAGGCATTATCATGCTGCCCAGATTATGGAACAGGTATATTTGCTCCCGTGCTGTTGGTTTTCTGGATGGAGGTCAAAATGGATCTCACTTGGAAAGTTTAACTTTGATCATAGGAATGTTTCATGTTGTTCCATTAGAGTTTTGATTATTTCAATTTATGTATTACATTTTTTATTATTATAAGAATGGCTTTATTGCTTAATATGCACTGGTGAGTCATATAATCTAGATTAATTTGCTTTTATTTGCCAAATTATGTTTGTTTAATTGTACTAATCCTGGGTAGCGTGCTATGTTTTCTTCTGTTTACTCTCAGAAATTGCAATTCCCATTTTCTACCCTATAAGAAACTCATGACCTTTTCAAAAATGGTATGTACCCATTTGCACCACTTAAAAGCAAGAAAACACACTTCCTTTCTATGCAATTAGTCTTAATTAAATAGCAATAATTAATTAAATAGCAATAGCACTTAGACTTATATATCGCTTCACAGTGCTTTTACAGCCCTCTGTAAATGGTTTACAGAGTCAGCATATTGCCCCCAACAATCTGGGCTCTCATTTTACCAACCTCAGAAGGATGGAAGGCTGAGTCAACCTTGAGCCAGTCAAGATCAAACTCCTGGCACTGAACAGTGAGTTGGCCTGCAAAACTGCATTCTAACCACTGCGCCACCACGGCTCTTTATAAGACAGAAGAAATGGTTGTGGAACTTCAGTGTTCAGGCACACTAGCCAACAGTGTGTTCTACAACAAGGCCATGTTTGTTGGGTACTTTCCATGATTCTAGAGAAACCGACAGTCAGCAGAAGTAGCCTGCAGTACTGCATTCTAACCACTGTGCCACTGCAGCTCTAAATCAATTAAATCAAAGATTCTTTTAAAAAAATCATTTGATTATCATATGGGGAGTATAATCCATGTTTAATCAACATCAATTAAACAAAACACGCTACTCTCATCATGCATAGAGAGGAAGGCACGATTAGACAAATTAATTGTGTGAATATCCAATTTAGCCTGTTTGGCAGTGATATGTGAAACAAAATCATTTGACTTCTGCACGAAAGAACTGAGCAAAGCATCTTTAAGCGGGTCAGCAGAAGCAGGCACAGGAGTGCTGGTGGCACCATTTCAGCATTGCTAAAAATATACCTGGGGTGGTTATATAACCATGAAAAAAGGCAGTACCTGTTGGTGCAGCTGCTTCTGTAGCGATGGTACAATAAGGTGGAGGGGAAGTATCCACCTCAGGTAAAGGTGCCTCTGTTGGACAGGCTGGTGCAGTTTCCGTAGAAGTGGACGGTTGTTCGGCTGTAGATTCTGCAGGATCATCTTCATTATGAAGCTTTAAAGAAAAAATAAGCGGAATTAAATATTATGCACTCCAATGTGACATTGGACTAGATAAGGTCTACTTAAGTGCTTGTGCTAGAAGTAAACAAGAGAGTAATACTTTATCTTTCAAGCACTCAGGCATGTATAGTAGAACAGGGTTATAGGGGTGTTTCTTCCTCTTGAGTTCTGTGTTGCTTTCATCTCAACTATGATGGAGATCAAAAGCATTACGACTGATAGTTTTTCTTCCAGCCCTTCCATATTCATTACATTGTATGTTTTCTTCCTGATATTAATAGAGCTTTCAGCAATTGTATACTGGGATGTTGCACAATGAAATGAAGGAAGTATTTCAAAAACGATTTCTCCATTTAGCATCTAACTCTCTTCTTGCAACTGATTTTTGAATCTGATTACAGCTCACTGGTAAAACATGGTTTCCCTTGAAAATATTATTGCTCACATACTTCCTTCCGGTAATTATGGCAGCAGTTGCTATGAAAAAGAACAGCAGGGTAAAATTGTCTGAAAAACAACTCCTGGTGCTATCAAAGCAGTGCAAAATATATATACAAACCTGGTGATCTTAACCATCAATTTTAACTTGGTAGCACAAGGAAACAACAGCCGATGACTTAATAGCTGACCATCAAAACCCCAATCAACCAAATAAGATGCCACATCCAAGCAGGCACCACATAAATATGATGCATAGAACAACCCCAAACCCACGTTCTGAGGATGGGTTCCAACACAAGTCCGAAAGCTCAGAAGACTAAACCACTGTTCCCAATGACTGGCCTAGATTGGACCCTTTAACAGTTGTTTTTAACTTCAGAATTGCCTAAGATATTGGTCAGAAAGATTCAAAGTAAAAAGAGATGAGAAAATTAAAACAAAAAAAACCTATTTCGTTATCTGTACCCTAACATCTCACCTGTGCCCTAACAATCATAGGTAACCAAGAATAGGCAACAGTGTAGGTTGCCAAGGAATGTTTTTTTTAAAAAAAAAGAATTTCACAGTCTGATCTAGAGCCCCCGTGATACAATCAGTACATAAAGACACAACACAAAGTAGGCAATATAGACTTTCAACATGTAAACAAGATATTCGTATGTCTGAATGCTCCTTCATCACTCACACATGTGTGTGTTCATGAAATTACAGACAGAGAAAAGGATGGCATTGCAGTCAACACTATGATAGCATCTAGAATAATAAGAAATTCGATATTTTTAAAAACGGCAATTACACTTGCCATCTGGAAAGCTCTGCAGACTTGTAGCTTAAATGTATTATCCTTTATCCCTAGAATAGTAAAAAAACAATTTTCCTTTTTCTGTGTTCCACTTTTCAGCTAGATGTAAAATCCAACTTTATTTCCATTTGGTTTTCTCCCCTCAAGGCTAAATATAACTGGATACCTCAATCTCTCCTCATAGGATGTAATGTCTAGTCTCATTTCACTGGACAACAATAATTTTGTGTCAGGCATTACAATAGGTGTCCTAAGCAAGTTTTTTTTGTGTGGAATTCAAGCATGAAAACAGATCTATTTCTATCACATTTAGGTTTTTTTAATGACTCCACCTTTGTTATTCTGTTCAATTAGTGATATTACAGTTGTATATTTTAATTTTAGTACCGTATTTTAGTACTTTGTAATTGTAACAATCACTGAGCAAAATCTAATTTATTACTGCTCTCTGGCATAGTTAACAACAAGACAAAGGCAAAAGGCATGACAGCAAGAACAGAACAGCCCACTACACACTGAGTCATGTTTGAACACGTCTATACATGAGTCCAGTCCCTTCTGGACAGCAGTTCTTGGTCAGTCTGGTGTCAGAGCTCACAACTGATTGTAAAAGTATCATGTATCCCATGGCCATAAAATTCTGGAAATAATCCCGATACATTCTGTTATTTGCATGGTGAGTTGACATTTAAAATCTCAGAAATAAAACTTCATCCCACTTATCAAAAAATGCTATGAAGTTTATCTGGGTTGTGAAGTCGATGATGAAGAAGGCAAGAAAATAAGGATCTCGTATTTGCTGTATGACATTGTGTTGGACTTCCAACAGGGTGGTTAAAGGGTTTGCAGGCACTATTTGGTGTTTGCCATTCCTATTATTTGGAGGGAGCCAAAAGACCACTCATCAGTGAGGGAAGTCACCCCCTCCCAGAAGAATGAAATATTTTAGGAAATATTAACAAGGGCAGAGTATATTTCCCCTAAAAGAGAAATAGAAATCTTAAGGGAGACAGAAACTCAGCTCCAACTCCCTGCCCGCAGCAGATATTTGATGCCCATTAAGAAGGACTGGGCCAGCCTATCTGTAAAACAAAAGACCTTCCGCTCCAGGGTGATGGGATTAAGACATGACCCTCCAGGATGTAATAGGATTAGCCCTTTACCATCTAGCAGCAGAGCTCATCACATGGTACAACAAGCCCCTTCACTGAATCACCCAGCAAGCTTCAACCAAGCCTGGGACTCAGATAGCCTACAAAGTTAGTTGGGACCCCTGCAATAGAATATATGCTCTTGCCACAGGAACAGGAAGCTCAAGGGCAAGGCCCAAAAGAGGGTATAAATAACCCTCCCTCTCCAGTCCATGTGGTCAGCTGCACCAGGACCATGTTCTTGATGGTTCTGCTTCATTACACCATCTTTCCAATCAGCCTCCAGGTTTCCAGTGTCTTTCTCCCTACTTGGAACTGAACCAGATGGATATTTCTTCCAACATCAGATTGTTATTGTTTCTGCCTAACAAGCACAATGATCATTAGTTTAACAAATTTTTCTTCCAAGATGATGAAGTGGTGTTTTGTAAAGAAGTTAACTCGATGAAGCATTAAATGAAGCTGGAAAGCATTAAATGAGGCTGCATGGAAATCATTCAAAAATGTCTGCAAAAATTCTTTCCGGAAAATCATCAGGAAGAAAACTATTGCAAAATAACGAGTGATCTCCTAAAGTTTTACCAAGCTACATGTTACTCTTGGGCCCTCACTTGGATTTTTACCTGAAAGCTTGGTGCAGTCACTGATGAGACAGTGAGCAATTTCAGGTGGAGTCTCCAGTATATTGACTGACTACTGCTGGGCCCTTAGAAAAGATGTTCCTGAAATCAAGTAATGCTTCTATTTAGGTAACACTGGTGTGCTTTAATTAACTTGTAAATATAGGCTATTGTAAATATAGGCTATTGTCAAGTCAAGCTGTGTGTCATGCAATCTTGTTTGATGAAAAAGTTATAGAAATATATTCAAATTCTATCTAAAAATTGTAAGATAAATAATTTTGCTCATCTGACTTTTTTTGGGCGGGGGAGATTCCCCATGTTTCCATTCTTGCTAAATTTTACATAATCAGTTGTAAGTAGGACAGAATAGAGCTGAAAGGGACATTGGAGGTCTTCTAGTCCACCTCCCTATACCATTTCGGACAAGTGGCTGTCCAATCTCTTTTTAAAACCTCCAGTGATGAAGCATCCACGATTTTTGAAGACAAGTATCATGCTTCTTTTTAGCATGAGCTGAAATTATGCAAACACACAAGGATCCAGCAACTTCTTGCAAGCAAGCAATATATAGCAATATATATAGCATCAGATGATACGAACACAATACAGAAGCCTGATGATGGCAGATGAGATTCTGCTGAAACGTTGCTACAACTTTAAAAGCACAACTATAATGACGTGGGAAAATACCCGAACAAAGCTGAATACCATACATATATATATATGTACACACACACACACACACACACATATACATATACATATACATATACATACATACATACATACATACATACATACATATATATATATATATATATATATATATATATATATATATATATATATATATATATATACACATACACACACTGTACATAATATAAGCAACCACTGAGAACTATTTATAAGATTTCTTTGTTTCTTTGTTTTATAAGATTTCTTTCCCCCATCTATTCTATGCAAAGAACTAAAAGTTATTTTCTTTTGGATGGACACACATTTTCTCTCCATTCCTGGTTTGGTAACAACCTCAAAATTTTAACCCAACATTGCTGCTACTTCTACTTTACCAAGTGAGACTTTCCTAATTGTAAATATGAAATTAAGACCGGATATTGCTCTTGCTTCTGCTTTAATTTTGTGAAGAAAAGCTGACAGCCAAACAATAACTTACTGAAGAAATCAGATTTGGCAGATTTTGGATAATTAAAACATCACAACACTACCATTTATTATCCACTTGGACTATCTGCAAGCTTGTTTTACAATGCTTAAATTGTTATCTTTTCAAAGTTGGGTGATTGATGTTAGATATATGGAAAGCATTTAAAACAGGTACTTTATCTTTCATTGTTTAGAAGGTTCCGCTGTTTCCAAAAATGTCTCTGTGCCTAATTTTGCTTTGTCTGTTATATTTTATATAAAATGCTCAAATCACACTCACTGATTCGGCACACTTGCCAATATAAATTAGAATAATTTGCAGAGTACTATTTATACAGTCACATCCATGCATCCTGGAACTTAGTCTGAAGGGGAATGAGGATGAAGATTCTAGAGATAATTTTAGTAGACTGGATATATGTCGGTGATGGACATCCAATGAGTATGAGTTTTAAGCCAATTTTCATCTACATCTACTCTCAAAAAAAATTCTTTCAGTGTAGACATATGAGGACCTTATTAATGACCTTTCAACAGATACAGAATAACAGAGTTGGAAGGGACCTTGGAGGTCTTCTAGTCCAACCCACTGCTCAAACAGGAAACCCTATACCAGGGGTCTCCAACCTTGGCAACTTTAAGACTTGTGGAGATCCCTGCCCTATACCATTCTGGATAAAAGGATTCAATTTAAAGCTTTCATGTATTATAAAATAATGCTGAACAAAAATGATTCGCTCAAAAGAAAGATGGCAATCGGTGCAGCACATGAAGCAGAGGTTTTACATGGGCATATTGAAGAATGCTC